CGTTGTATAAGTTTAGAACAATTCTAAAGACAGAAGACAACAAAATAGAGCACAATTGAAACTGGTTTCATGTTTGAAAAAATATTTAGCTTTCCTTATAAAGTGTATTTTATTATAAACTATTAACATAGTTCTAACTCCTTGTACCTGACATGCCGCTATCTAAAAGTATATATATAATAAAACATAAATGTTTCAAAAGTCAAGGAGGTGCCAACATCTGATTTTGAGCAAAATCGGACTCGTAGTTAAGCGTCAAAAGAACTTTTTCTTTAGCAAGTCAAAAGAACTTTCTGTCCACAGTCCACAGGAACTTGTGTCCATGAATTCCTCAAAACGAGGTTCATCAAAATTCTCAGCCCAGGAGAATTAAGCCTTCCATCGGACGGGCCGAGATCACGGCCCACTAGACGGTGGCACGTACGGGAATAAACGAGACCCCGTGGGCATTCGCCGAGCGGTCGGCTTATAAAGCGACCCACCAGTCCACACCACCCCAGTATAGGGTTCCTCCCGTCGCCTGCTCCGCCGCGCCGCTGGCTCCAAGGCGCCGCCATGGTCTGCTCAGTCCACCGCTCGTTACGGGGCTCTACTCGGGGATTCACTGTCTGTTCTTCTCTCTTCGGGTCGTGTTTTGGTTCGTTCTTCGCTCCGGCCTTTCGTTTTGGTTCGTGTTCGTTTTTCGCTGGCTTGCCGTTGCGCTTGTTCGGTCTTGATGAGGGAGGTCGGCGGCGATGACGAAAAACTATGGTTCGCTCGTCTGAACGGCGGCGGGTTCAATCCCGCCTGCCTTGCTGAGCTTAAAAGTAGTCCGAGCCCCTCGTCTCCCTCCTCTGGACCCAGATCTGATCCACTCTTGCGTTTTCCTCGTGTTTTCTGATCTGCTCTGTGGCGTTTTGGTTTGTTTCGTGGAGGCGGTGTTGCGATGATGAGATCTCATCTGCTGAGAGCTCTACTCGATGAGCTTGGGAAATGATCTTGCATTGTTTCCTCCTGAGCGGTTACCTGAGCAACCCAACAATCCCCACTCGTGATTTTGCTTTGCTATAACAATTTTGGCGACAAGATAATATGGATGATTATCAGTTTGGGCGACAAGATAATAATAAGAATCCAAACGATTTAATTTTCTAAATATAATGTAATGCGGAGCCCAAACGCAAACATTGCATCTCATTTTAGTGCAGCAAACTATTGGTACAAACAATCCCCAAATTAAAATTAAAGCACCAACTCACATTATACAATCAACTGCAGCAGCAGCCTGGCCCTGTCCTGTGAACTAACATGAGGAATTTTGCAACACAAGCACCAGGGTTTTCGAAAGAAAAACAACACCAGCACCAGAATGATCTCACGATGCCTGATCGTTGGTGGCCCTGGCAAGCCCGTTGTGCTGCTCCAGGAAGCGCACGACGACGCAGGTGATGTTGTCGGCGCTGCCGCGCTGGGAGGCCTCTGCCAGGAGCGTCTTGGCCGCCTGCTCCGAGTCCAGGATCGGCTTCACCATGGCAACGGCTTCCTGCCAACAAAACAGAGTTACCTGGAAGAACTGCAGTCCGCAGAAGATGAATGAATGTGTTTCGTTTCGTGTTTACCTCGTTGGTCACCACGTCCCAGAGGCCATCGCTTGCAAGGATGAGGAACTCGAGCGAGCTGTCCACCACCTCCTCCTGCACCAAACAGCGACCACAGCATTTACATTCTGGTTTTCAGAGAGCCATACTCTATGCCCGTTTGATGAAGAACACAAACCTTGATCTCTGGATCAGCAACCACATACTGCTTCAAGAGCTTGTCCCCAAATGCTCGAGAAACAGCAAGGACGCCACCAACACGCCACGTTCCTACAGAAAGTTTTTTTTAAGTAAGTAAATAATAAAGGATTTTTCGAACTCCGTTATTCAGTGGTTTCAGTGGTGGCCAGTAAACCAAGGGCATGAAGACATACCGGTCCACATCACAAAACCTCCGGCTTCCTCTATTCTCTGTCTCTCATCTGTCTGGTCCGGCTTGTGGTCTCTTGAAACCGCTATAGCTGCGCCATCATCAATAATTTTAATGAAGGTCATGTGGTTTCTTAGAGAATCGGAACACAAAGGCTCAATTGTGCATGATTTGAAAAAACAGTCTATGCAACCATTTAGTGACATGAAGGAACTTCAGTTCTGCAGCAGATCAGATGCAACCACACGCTAGGATGGTGGAAAGGTGCAAAGCTGAGATGTCGAAACACAAGAGAATTTGACTCACCATCCCCTCCTCTACAGATGACTGCCCTGGAGTCCCCAACATTTGCAACCACCAGGCGATCGCCTACAAGAATGGCCGTGGAAGCGGTTGACCCCGCATCACGGTGATGGCTGGTATCGGCTTTCAGAAGCTCCGAGTCCGTGTGAGTGTAAGTTTCCGCTGCAGGAGGATATCATATCACAGGGGTTTAGGCTCCAAAATTCAGGGATGCAAGTATTTGTGTTAAAAAATGCTCTAGCGAGCGCAGGGATTTACAATACCAATAGCGGACTTGGTATCACTGAAGAACCTTGGGTGCTTGATTAAATTTGTGAAAAGGTTTTGTTTCACAAACTCGGCTGCTCGAGCTCCACCATGACCTGCAAGGAGGGATAAAATTTGGTTAACAATCAAACAGTATCCTGTATCCTGTCCTCGTGCAAAGTCAGTCAGTGAATTCATCGGCTCTAGCAGTAGAAGCTTGTGCCACCAGTAAACCGGTCATACATTTGGTTGATGTAATGTAATGTAAGACGTTTACAGTTACACCGCAAACATGTAATCCTGAAACGCTTATTGAAATGTGAAACTTGCTTCCAGAACAACAGCGCCTTACCGTCAAAGACGCCGAACAGTCCAACTGTCTCTCCATCAACACCGTCAACTCTTGTTTCATGGAAGTCCTCCATGGAGGATCTTTTCCCAGGAGAGCTTGCATACCCATAGCTGAACTTGCCGTTTTCACTGCATTCGTGTGAAATAAGAAGCCATGGAGATCACCATCAAATGGACGCCTTAATAATATACAGCCTAATCACAATTCAGCAGTAATTCGCCAGTGCCACAGCGAAGAAATTTGGTAGATAACATATAGCTCTGTGATTAGGCTGAATTGTGATTAGCCATGCCTTCATTCACACAAATGGCCATGCCTTCATTCTGTTAACAGATAGCTCTGTCCACTGCATATAACATATTAACAGGGTAGCAAGAAACAATCTACCAAGAAACAATTTGAAGATGAAGACCACGTAACACTACGCATAACATGGATGGCTGGCACAGATTTCATCACCAAAAAAAAATTTGAGGCTAAACAGGACCGGAGATAGTGAGAGCTTCTAGAACCAGAGCAAAGCAAATTTGTACTATTTTCAAAAGATTTACGCACAAGAAGAGAAGGAAATAAGCAAGAACGATGATCGCACCTGAACCCTCCGCCAGTGACGGGGGATCCTTTCTCCGTGAATCCCATCACGGCCGCTGACGACGGCGACGGATCCTCTCGGCACCACCAGGAACAGAGCACCGTAACGGCGACGACGCGACGAGGTCGAGGAACATAAGCAGTGGCCCCGGCTGGAGCTTCTCTCGAGTACGCGTAAATGGAGGAGGAGGAGGAGGAGGAGGAGGGAGCAGGGTGGCCGGGGCTGCAGCGCGGGGCTCGTGCGCCTAAAAGCGCGGAGCGGACGGGCACGATGCGCGGTGGCGTGCGTGGGGGTGAAGGAGGCGACGTACGTGGCGGCAAGCCTGTGGACGCCCCCGCCGCGCCGCCTGCACCGGCCCTCCTTTTCTTGGCGCGTCTCGCCGTCGAGCGTGACGGTGTTGGACACGTGGCCCTCCCTCCTCGCGCTTCTGCCAAACTGCCTGCGCGTTGCGTACCGTAGCGCGCCAGCTCGCCGCGCGCGGCGCGTCAGCTAGTCGACTTGGGATTGGAGCGCGAGGAGACGGCGGCTCGTCCTGAGCGGGCACGTGGGGCGACCGCGGTGAGGGGGAAGGACACCTGAGCCGCCCCGGAATGATAGCGCCGGCGCCGATTCCGTACACGTCGAGGCCTCGAGGGTCAGCTTCTGGCTTTAGAAGGAGACGTGCTGCACCTGAGAAGCGGCTGTCTATTCTTCTCTAGCTGCCTTCAACTGTTCTGTCCACAAGTCGACGCACGCTTGATGTAGCCAAGTTCGATGCTCCATGCCGTACTCATATCATAGTCGTCATAATCCAGGATTGAGCCACTAAGGATACAATTCTGCATTTGCCTTTATTTGCCTCTTCATCACTCAAATCGGTTTGTAGGGAGAAGATGTGATTCATGTCGCACTGTTTTCAGCATGTTATGCACTTATGCTCGGAGGATGAATGAATACATGTATACCGTAAATTGTCGATGACAATATGTTTCTCCCGAGCTTTTCTTATGATAAAAAATGTAAGCATCCTGTATATAGGAATATACATGCAAAAAAAAATCCTGCTCAAAATTAGGCATCAGGCTTGCCAATTCCTTGTGCAGCAATTTTTAAAAAGAATTCAGTTAGTTTGAAATTTTCGTCAAAGCCTTGTTGCGGATATGGATACTGCAGCTTCGGTCTCTCTTCTTTTTTTTTCGAGAAGATACAGCAGCTCAAGTCAATACTTGGGCCCAACAAATTCAGCAGGCAATGGAATTTATTTGTGCCGGACCGGGGCGAGCCGTGTCGGCCGTGCGACGCCTGGAAGCGCGCCCGATGTCCATCCGTGCATCGCAAACAGCCACACGAGTCAGATCGGTTCCGACGACAACACGTGCCGGACACGCCGACACGACATCACCACCGATTCACCGCCTCTGAGTCGAACCGACCATAGCCACCATACGTCGCGGCGCGGGCGCCCCTCATAAACAAACTTTTCCCAGTAATAAACACGAAGCTTATAGCTTAATCCAAACCCACGGCTCGCTCCTCGGCGCGCTAGCTGCGAACGACCGACCTCCGAAGTCCGATCGCGCCATGGCCGCCGCCGCCTCGTGCCGCTGCAGCGGCGTGGTGTTCGTGGGCAACATCCCCTACCACGCCAGCGAGGACGAGCTCCGCGCCGCGTGCGAGGAGATCGGCCCCGTGGTGTCCCTCCGCGTGGCCCCCGACGACAGCAAGGGCAGCAGCAGCAGCCGGCCCCTGCCCCGGGGCTTCGCCTTCGTCGAGTACCTCGACGACGAGACGGCCCTCAGCGCCTGCCGCAACCTGCAGGGCCGGGCCCTCCGTGGCCGTGACCTCCGCGTGGGCCTAGCGCAGCGCACGCCGCCGCCCGCCGGCTGCGGCGACGCCGAGCCCGTGGGCGTCGAGGGCGCCACGCACGCCGCGTCGCTCCTCGGGCCGGGCGCCCGCCCCTGCGGCGCCGTCACGTCGTACCTGGCCGGGCTGAGCCGCCGGCAGCTGGGCGAGCTGCTGGACGCTCTGGAGCGGGAGGACGCGGCGCTCATGGAGCATGGCAAGCGAGAGTTCGCTGGGCTGGACACGTTGATTGAGCAGGCACGGGTGCTACTCGACATGGCTTCGGCGCCTGGCGCCGCGGCGGCTAACAACAGGAAACGCGGCGCGAGGGGGCAGGACCGGCCAGGTGATCCACGTTCACCGGAGGCCGCAGCCCAGGCGCCGAAGCTGAGAAGGGTGCAGGACGTCGGCGAGTACGTTCCTGGCATCGCCTACCGCTGATGGACTCATCGAATTGTTATATGGCTTCTTTTGCACAAAAATACGTAGTTGCATTTTAGGTGCCTGAATTTTTAGGAAGCTTTATACAATCACCTAGTATAATTAAAATGATAACTTTCAAGAAATAATTCATAATTTTTATCTTAGCCAAACAATAAAAATTGCAACCAGGCATCTAAAATATCCTAGATGAGATGGTTTATCATAAGTTTATACCACAAAATTTGTAAGTTCACACCATAAAATTTGGTTCACACTCGTTATTAGCTAGCGGGAATAAAATAAAATAAATAAAAAAGTGAGTAAGAAAAGTCGAGGACCATGTAAAACATGATATAAGCGGCCCCTTTTTACTATAAATCTACTAAGAACATCTCCAGTAGCCTATATAAACATTCATATACTTTATATTACCGGAGCAGAATTTTAGAAGTCCAGACCGGATGGGTTGAGGAGGAACTTTATTCGGCAAGCGGAGAAGAAGTAAATAGATTTGGTCACCCAACATGCTGGCTAGGATTCCACTACCAAATAAAGAAACTTTCCCAATCCTACACAGAGGTGGCTATAGAGAGGGAAACATGGCGTGGAATCAGCAAAGAGATAAGTGGCAGGAGCGAGAGCCAGGATCGAAACTTAGATATAAAGAGGAAAGGTACCTCGACGTGGTTCTTCGTGAGCAGCAGGCACCGAGGACATCTCCACTGCTTGAGAGACAACGGCCGCGCTCCATCATCATTGTTGGCGTTTGCGGCCGTGCTACCAGTCAGGCGTGCGCCGGCCGTCGGTGCAAGCGCAACAACCATAGTCAACCACGCCCACGACTCATTCATGGACTTCCCATCCGTGGCAAGGAAGCGACAGCTGGACATGATCGCGAGCGACGTCCGGCTCACATGCGGCTCGGTCCGCATTGCAGCGCCCGCCAGCGCATCTCCGCTCCGGACACCGATGGCTGGCGCAAGGTCCTGTCGCAGGGGTCGTCATGTGGCGCCGGCGAACCAGCGGCCCCCTACCCGCTATCCGGCGGACCTTTTACGGGAAGTGCTTTAACTGTCTCTCCACCGCGCACAGGGTGGCAACCTGCAAGCTGCCTCCGATTTAACGGTTTCCGACACCTCGCGCGGGATTGTAAGCGGCGGCGGACGGAGCCTCCTTCCAGCTCTGGCACATCTGGTGCCACAGAAGGCTGGCCACGACAACTTGACCTGGCGCGTACCTTGGTCGTCCGGCCGCGTACCCAGGGCGACACACCAAGCTTGGTTGGAGCTGTGCCAGGTGCTGCTACGCGCGGCGGCAGTGGGCGTCGATGTTGTAAGGAACCATCACGCCTAAGAGAGGGGGGTGAATTAGGCAACTTAAAAATCTATTCTAAACTATGACCTGTAATTCCACCCTAGCAAAACCTATGCAAGAAAGTAATCTATCTAAATGTGCAACTACAGTTTTGCTAATGTGTTGCTATCTCTACCGCAAAAAAGTCTTGCAACCTAGGTTCCAACCCTATCAACTAGCCTATCAAATAAGCTAGAAAAGTAAAGCACACAACCTAGGTAACAATATAAATGCGGAAGGTAAAGATGAGATAGAGATGCAAACTCCCATCGACGACTCTGGTATTTTTATCGAGGTATCGAGAAGCGCTCAAGCTTCCTCTTAGTCCTCGTTGGAGCCCCTCACAAGGAATCCCTCGCAGGGGCCAAGCTTCCGGTCGAGTAACTTCGTGGATAGCCCCGGGCCTTTCCCACGCGCAAGTGGGTCTTCGGTGTGCCTTCCGGCAAGCCTCTCCCAGACCGCTCCCCGCCGTCTTCACTATTAAGCTTTCGTTCGAACCGTCGCAGGCCTTGTTCCCTTCAGTACACGGTGGCAGCTACACCACAACACACAGTTGGTGTGATCTCGCAAGACTACAAGCCCCTCCAAAATACAACAATGGTGCGCGCAAGCACCGAGTGATAAGAGGTGTGCAAACCTCACTAAACACTAGAACTAAACCTAGAGCAACCACGTAAGCGGTGGTTTAATTAACCTAAGTACTTCATAAAGCACTAATAACCTAATGAATCGCTAAGCACTATGCAAATAGAGATCATTAAAAAGGTGTATCAACACCTTGGTATGTTTTCTCAGCTCTTCACTACTCAATTGGCCGGTTGGGAGTCTATTTATAAGTCCCATGGAGAAAGTAGCCGTTGGGGACGAAACCCAGCTTTCTGCCATTGACCGGACGCGCAGGTCGTCCTCATCGGACGTGTCCGGCCGTCCCGACCGTTGAAGCCAACCATTGGCGCTTACTGTTGATCGGACTCTCTGGCGAGTCCGGTCGCTTACTGTTTACACCAAAATTTGGAAAGAAGAACACGGGAACTCGAAGCTTCCAAGATTGTGTCATCAAGGAATCGATTGCATAAGGATCGATATCAGCTGATTCAGATGCGGCACTAGAATCGGCCCTCTTCAGATGACGTCAGCAGATAACAACAATAAGCTACGGTTGGCGTCGGGAAAGACATGTCGGACTCTAAAAAAGGGAAAGATTAGGGTCCAAGTTATCTTAAATTAGGAGTGTTTTCTCTTATGCCAAAGATTGTAATGAGTCGTACTTGAGTAAGATTCATGCTTACATTCCGGGTATAAATATTGGACCCCAGCTATTGTAAAGGACATCCAATCAATCAATACCAATTACTTTTTTTGGCTTTACGCCAACCCTTAGGAGTAGGAATAGTGTAGATCTCAGCGAGTTCTTCAACAAGTAGGGCTGCATCGGTCCGGTCGACCTCCGGCTTATCTGTAAGTACCGTCATGGCTTATACTTCTGTTTATAAGGCTGCATCGGTTAAGTTCGACCTCCACTACGAGCTCTAGTATAAGTTAGTTATCGACTCTTATCTAGTTCAAGTACGGCTGCATCAGTTAAGTTCGACCTCCACTGCTCGAATTAGATTAAGGTCAGGTTATCGGCTCTACCTAAGGGTGGCGTCCTTTGGGTAGATTCATTAAGTTACCGATCTTATTGATATTCTTATTGTTATTAGTTTCAGCAACATCAACCTGCCCGATCAAGATCGAACTGGATCGGCCTCACATCCTTTTAGTCCCTCGTTTATTTTGCCACATTGTGACAGTTCTTACTTTAAACGATGGATTACGTTTCATCGTCTGTCCTACTTCGATTTTGATCGTGTATAGTATGCGGTTAAGGCATGTCTGATCTTGAGGAGGTTTACTAGCTAGTTAAATCTGATCTATAGATTGCTATTATGGCTGTAACGATCTGGTCGATCCCCACTGATGGCACTCTAGATTGGAGGATGCTAGTTGGTAGACTTGCTTTCGACCAAGCGTGACCTTGGCTGTTTGCTATGCCTGCATCGGCTAAATAGCCAATCGCCTACACTTTGACGCTCATAGTATGTCTTCATGATCCTGTTAAATATGAATAGATCTGTTTTCTTTAAAGGTTTAATCTGTTATCTTTATTATGGCTGCGATCGATCCGGTCGAACCCTACTATTAAAGATGATAGGTTAGATTTGAGGAGTTTATAGGTCTGCTCGTATCGAATAGTCGATTGTTCACATGTTATGATCTCTTTTCTACCTGAATCGGCTCTTTTAGCCGATTCGTTTGTGCTTTCACACATATAGCATGTCTTTCAGAAAACCTATCAATGTATAAACGGTTTTATGGATTCTTCGGTTTTAGTTTGTTATTATCATCATAGCTGCCATCGATCCGGTCGAACCTCACTATTAATGGTAACAGATTAGATTCAGAGCATTTGTAAATCCATTTGTACTAGACAGTCGATTTGTTCGCATGTTATATCATTTCTCGTTAGATTCATCGGTTAAATGCTTTACATTGGTAATATCCACCTATCTGATGATTTTGCTTATATCTGCGTGCATTGTACTTATCAACATAAAATCAATCGCGACCCACAAGCTTTACAGACCGTAACAGCCGTTTTCTTCGCGTATCAGCTATTTAGTCGATTCTCTCGTCTGGCTGCTCCCGTAGCATCACACTTAGAACTGTCTAGGCAAAACCAGCATGTTCCACCTTAAATTACTGATAAACTTTCTCTCCTTATCAATTGCAGGTCAAATTGGCTGGCACGCCTTCGGGAATTCGCAGGATCAGCTACCCCTACGTTGAAGCCAAGCGGATCTCTAGCCTTGCCCCATCAAGCAGATCCTTTCGGCTTGCTATGTGCCAGACGCATTAACACGTTTTTGCGCCGACACACGTTCTGGCACACCCAATAGGACCCCACAGTCATCATGGCAACTCAGAACAACAGTGACATCCTTATGGTGCCGTATGAAGACCTACCTGAAGAAGATAAAGATGTCATTAGCAAAGCTGTAGAAGAATTTCAGAACAAGTGTTTGTTGTCCTACACTAAGACACGTGACAATAAAGTTATTCAGAAATATCCACTACCAAGAGTTTTGTTGCATGGACAGTCAGACACAGACAAAGCTGAGGATAGGCGTTTCTTCGTAGAGGCTATAAACAAATCTGTTCATGATGCCATATTGAACCATAATACAGTTTTTTGAACACATTCCATAATACCATGAAAGAGGTGTTTCATGGATACCCAATTAATCAGGTTGAGCTGGTTTACTACAATATTCCACATCCGTTGACTCAGGGGACTAATCAAGCCAGTACTAGCCATCAAGAAGTAGCACCAGCTGGTAATAATGATGTCTAGGCAGTTCAGAGCTTATCTAAGCAAGTTCAAGGTGCCACTACTAATTAGATGCAGTATAATCTTGGATCGTCAGTGCAGCATGTGCAACAGCCGACGGGGCAAGTTCAGAATCAAATGGTTAATTTTGGCACAGCAGGCCAGATACCGTCGTTGGTTCAAAAAATAGCGCCATCAGTTCAAAGGATTCGTAGAGATACAGATCCTAGCATTTACAACCAGAGACTTCAAGCAGCAAACCAGCAAAAGACCCAGCAGATAGAGATTCCATAAG